TTTTATGTATTAATGTGGCTGCATTAGCTGACTGGTGGCCTGGGCACTGGGCTTGGCTGGGACAGCGGGCTTCCTCTCTCTAACAGTCCTTCATCCTCAAGGAGGCTAGGCTGTACTTTTTACATGGTGGCTGGGTTCCAAGAGGATATGGGAGGCTGCAAGGCCTTGTGGCCTGGGCTTGGAAGTCATATAATGATCAAATCAAGTCAGAGGGTAAAGGCCGGCCTAGATTCAAGGACTCCACCTCTTAATGGGAGGGGCTGCAAAGATTCTTTGGCCGTATTTAATTTATCACAGGCCTTGGAGACCAGAAAAGAGAGAAGATAGTGACTAAAGAGTATCATCTGTTACCAAGCAACATATGAATTTAGTGTGGACAAATCTTTTAACTTTTCAGAAGCTGGAAATCTAGATTAAAAAAAAATTTACTAATAGACTACTTTTTAGAGCAGTTTTAGGTTTACAGAAAAATTGCTCAAAATAACTTAGAGTTTTCATATAGCTCTCCCCTTTTCCTAAGTTTCCCCTATTATTAACACCTTTCATTAGTGTGGTACGTTTATTGCCACTGATGAACCAATACTGATACATTATTATTATTGCTATTATTATTAACTAAAGTCCACAGTTTACATTAGGATTCACTCTTTCTTTTCTATGGGTTTTATGGGTTTTGACAAATGCATAATGTCTTGCATTATGCATTTAGTAATATCTACTATTAGGATATCATACAGAAGAGTATCACTGTCCTAAAAATGCCCTGTGTCCTTCCTGCCCACTAATCTTTTGACTGATTCTATAGTTTTGCCTTTTCCAGAATGTCATATAGTTGGTATCATACCATACTGTAGTCTTTTCAGAGTGGCTTTTTTCTCTTAGCAGTACGCATTTATGGTTCATCCATGTCTTTTCATGACTTGATAGCTCATTTCCTTATATCACCAAATAATATTCCATTGTCTGGACGTGCCACAGTTTGGTTATCCATTCACCTGCTGAAGAACAACTTGGTTGCTTCCAAGTTTTGGCAATTATGAATAGGCAGGATTTTGTGGGCCTAAGCTTTCAACCCAGTTGGGTAAACACCTAAGAGTGTGATCGCTTGATCGTTTTGTGTTTTTTTTTGTTTGTTTGTTTGTTTTGCGGTACGCGGGCCTCTCACTGTTGTGGCCTCTCCCGTTGCGGAGCACAGGCTCCGGACACGCAGGCCCAGAGGCCATGGCTCACGGGCCCAGCCGCTCCGCGGCATGTGGGATCTTCCCGGACCGGGGCACGAACCCATGTCCCCTGAATCGGCAGGCGGACTCCCAACCATTGCGCCACCAGGGAAGCCCCTTTGCTCAGCTTTTAACTGGGTGGTTTGTTTACTTACTGTTGAATTTTAAGAGTTTTTTATATATTTAGTATACTGGTCCTTTGTCAGATATGGGTTTTGCAAATACTTTTTCCTAGTCTGTGGCTTGGCTTCTCATTCTCTTAATACTGCCGTTCCCGGAGCAGAAGCTTTTAGCCTAAATGAAGTCCAACTTACCAATTTTTTCTTTCACGGATTATGCTTTTGGTGTTTCTTTAAACAGTCATTGCCAAACCCAAAGGCACCTAGATTTTCTCCTATGTTGTCTTCTAGAAATTTTATAGTTTTGCATTTTACATTTAGGTCTATGGTCCATTTTGAGTTAATTTTTGTGAATGTTGTAAGGTCTGTGTCTAAATTCATTATTTTGTGTGTGTGTGTGTGTGTGTGTCTAGTGGTTCCAGCACGAAATCTGGATTTTTGTGTGAAGTGACCTGATCTTAACGGTTTGTTCAATCTTTTTTTTTTTTTGGTGGTCGTGGTGGGGGAAGAACTAAGTTCCCCCTCCGCCAACACACACGTCTGTAGACTGTTTTTCTCCATCCAGGATTATCTCTGCCCCTCTCATCCCCTCACCTGAAATGCTCTTCATCCACCCATATCATCTTACCTGGTGCCCACCTCACATTTCATCTACGCCACTTTTGCCGACACTGACTGGTTTGTGTACCTAACAGATACCCAGTTAAGAGTTGTTGAACTCTAAATGCACTTATGAGCTCTAAGCCCCATTTAGCACTGCCATTTACCACCATTTTTCCTCCTCAGCCAGAGTGTAAACTCCCGGGGAGGCCAGGAATCCTCTTTTTCTCCTTTACCCCAGGTAGCTCAGCAGAGGTTTGAGCATAAACCAGGTCGGCAATATTTGCTGACCATTTTAGATGAGCTAAACTTTGGTCTTGGCTCACCAAGTGTCCTTTGATCTTTAGGAGAGACAGCAACCTCAGGAGGTCCAGCTGAGGACCTGCCAAAGATAGGATCCCTGCAGCCTTGCCCTGGCAAGCCTGAAACGGTGGCATCTCTGATTCTGATGCCTGATTTAGCATTATGTCCACACAAACAAGAGGACCTTCATCTCCTTGGAGAATTAGAAAAGATTTACAAAGGAGACAGCAAAATGTGGTCTCCAAAGTACCAAGGGATGCTGAGTCACAAACAAGTTTCTTTCATTATGATTGTTACGTGGTCAGAAGGATCATTCCAGTCATTATGAAAACAATGAAAAACAAATGAATGAAATAAAAAGAACAGACAGTTTTCTGGTGACTGGTTTCCCCACGTTGTGCCTAATTTACAGTCAGGGTAACGGTAATCCCCCACCCCTCGACTTGGTCTTGTGTTTTCATCTGCGTCATTAAGTGTCCCCATTCAAGGAGCTCTGTGCACCTCCACGTGAACAACGACGGAAGGAATGAAAGGGTCCAGGACCGAGGCTGAGACCCAAGTGGTCTTGGCTGGCTGCAACTGAGTCCAAGCACCACGGCAGAGGGTGCCTCAGAATTCACTGACTCAGGGGAGTATTGTGGCTTCCATCTGCCGGGATGACCTCTCATCCATCTGTCGGCGGTCCAATCCCAGGCCAGGCCAATCCCAGGCAGAATAAATCTGGCAGGCACAAACTGGGCAACAACATCTCCTGGCCCTGGGTTTCAGAAATGGGTGGAGAACCAGCGGCAGAGTGTTTAGGGCTGCTGGCATGGCCCTCATCAGGTCCGTAGCAAACGCTGGTGTCAGCAATGCTTCCACCTCAAGAGCAGCCCTCCTGGAGCTCAAGACTTCCAGGTATCAGTTAGCTATTCACTGGGCTTGGAAGACAACAGTCTTGCGGGAAACACACCCACATTCCTACCTCCCATCCTCCACCAGAGGCAAACAAGTGGACTGTTCCTGGCCTCATCCTCCCTTCCTCGGGAAAGCCCCCCAAACATACACCAGGTAGGGATGCATCTGGTGCATGGCGTGAAGCAGGCAAAGTGACCCCCAGTGTTTTGTGTAAAACAAATCACATCTAGATAACTGAAAAATAAAAAATCCCAAGCCCCCTCCTCCATGACCTGTTTAAAAGACCAAACCCCCCATTTCCACATAGCTGCCAAAGTAGCCTCTTTGGACACACTGTACTCAATGGTGACTTGGGGGGCTCCCAGCCCCCAGCAGCTGAAAACGAAGATTAAAGACCACTAGTTGGTGCCGCCGGCTAAAATCAGGGAGTGTTAAGCAACCTGGGCTAGAAATTCAACCTTGCTCATTCTGAGCAACAAATAACTTCAGCAGCCGCAAGAAAAACGGCTCTAGGAGTACCCTAGAGAGCCATCCATCGAGGAAGGGAGGCTCCACGGGCAAGTCTGGCCATGGAGAACCAGAAAGGACTCACTGCCCACAAGCTGAACAAGTTAAATTATTTTGAGCATTTGAGGCTAGTTCTTGGTAAAAAAAAAAAAAAAAAAACACATCATCTACCTGATAACAGGTAATTTACATTTCTTGAATATCAAGGTAGGACTTAAAGCTGCCAACAATTAAAAAGAGACCTGATTTTCTCAATGTACAATTCCATCTTACACTGTTGCTGCATTTTCTAAGTGCCTCATATCCATTTTAGAGTCATTTTTCCTTCCAAACCTTAATATCCCTCAGTCCCTTCTAAGGCAAAAAATGTTAGACCCATTTTGCGGATCTGTAACTATGTTAGCAAGATAGAATGGCGGAGCGCGATCATGCAACCACAGCAGGGAGAGGGGCAGGACAAGGTTCTGACATCCTGGGGCCTCACCAAGAGAAACAACTGTCCTGAAGGCAATTTGTGGCTGAACCTCAAACTATTTTCCCCAGAGAAAGGCAAAGTCAACTCTGTTCTTCCTGAGCCTTCTACAACTGTGGCTGGAGAGTCCAGCTGTTTTGTCATGGCCTCACATTCTTTATGCAGAGGCTCGAGTGGACAAGATTTATGGGGTGGTCCAAAGAAGCAGGCTAAGTAATGTGGGATGTAACCACAAAAGAGAACTTTCTGGCCCAAGCAGAGGAGATCTAGTTTCCGTGGAGGGCTGGACAATCAGCCTCAAAACTGCCTGTCTCAGCTGTGGGTGCTCAACACCCAAGAATGAAGCAACAGAGGTTCTTCTCCTTTAGAGACTTTGCTCTGTGATCACGGCCATGCTAAGGTTTGAGGAGCTGAAGACTCACAGAGCACCTGGGAGCTATTTTCCCTGGAAGTGGACACAGAGATAGCACTGAACATAATCAGGGAGAAGGGAAACTGTGACAACACAAATGAGTGAAGCAGACTTAGCTACAAATCTACTGAGCTACTACAGTGCCCAGATGTCTGTAAAACTAAAAGAAATTGCTTTTCATGCCCAGCAGCCAGCACAGGCAATGAGCCATCACCAAAGCCATCTCAGCAGGACGGTAAATCAAACATCACCAAGGCCAAGAAGCAGTATGTTAAGAATAATGATTCCCCTTTGAGATGATGATGCTTAAAAAATCCAAAACAAACTTAGCCAAGCTTCCAAGTTGAGGGAGAAGGTTTAAATCAGGTTCATGGGACAAAACTCAAAGTCAGACGGGGCCAGACAGCACATTCTGGGCAGAATGGCTGACCAAGGGCTCCCTGTGGCCAGCAGCCCGACATCATACTTACAGTGAGTTGGGCCGGGTGGGTTTGAGCACATCCAGGTCTGGGTCACTGGAGTTCATGTTGGGCTGTAAGCTGCTGCTAGAATTAAGGATGCTGTTTGCGTTTGATGAGACGACAGATTCCAAACTGGAGTCGATGAGGCTGTTTCTCTGTTCCTCTGGGGGAAGAAAAAGCCACAAACTCCATATTAATATTATTCCATAGGGAGAGTCTGCTCCTACCTATACCAAAGTTTACAAATAAAGAGATTAGACGGAGCTCTCTGGTGCCAATGAAGCTACGAAAAGGACATAGGAAAGGATAAGAATTACAAGTGGGAGAGGAAGAGCCCAAGAGTAACAGGTGACTTGAAACTTTAGAGCAAAACTCCGTCCTCCGCTTGACAGGACACATCATCTCCCTTGACAGACAGGACACATCTCCCCTTTCATATGACCAGCCTTTTCCTAAGAGTGGCCCCACCACCGCACCACGAATTGTGTCTTTTTTGGGCTGGCAGATGGTCAGAACAGAGAGAGCCTTCAAAGCCCCCTTACAATCAATCATATCCTCTTGGTTTGGTGACATTCACCCTTTATTCTAAAACTCCTGCCCCCAGCATGGTCTTACTTGCCTAAGCCATGTCCTACCTTTGACCCTATAGTACCATGCCATAAAATATCTACTCTTTGGACATCCACTTCCTTATGGCTCTGCAGTCTAAACCCCTGACCACTCCCCAGATAGACTCTTCTGGGCTGCTTCTAGCTCCAAGTATTTGATGTTGAGCTTCCAGTTAGTTCTTTGATCAATAGATCTGTAAGGACTACAGAGTAGTCTGCATATACAAAACTGAGTCCATGTTCCAAGCAGTCACATTAGTGCTTGGAGAATATTACCAAGTCAGAAGGGAGAAAACCTGAGTTCCCACCACTGACTGGCTGTATGGAGTCAGGGAATATTCCTTGACTCTCTGTCTCTTGGTTAATGCAGCTATAAAGTGGGGAGCATGAGAAATGCCTTACACAGCTCGGGGAGCTGTCATGAGGATCAAGTGGGATCACATGCAAGAATGCGTTTTGTAAACTTCAGAACCTTGCTCAAAGAAAAGAACTTTCTGTTTCTTCACATCTTTAAAAACTTGGAACCATGCACTGAAGAAAACATTTTGGGGATGATTTAGCCAAATGGCATGGGCACCACTGCTGCAGCAAAACATTATTAGATACATACAATGTCATTCTTGTTCCACATTCCTTACAGATACACCATATTGGAATCAACTGATGTTTTGGGCAATCAGTTTACGTATCAAGAGATGTCATGTCTGGGTTAATCCTCGCTGGACCTTTCTGAAATGAGCCAGAGGTATACCATATCCCTAAGAAGACGACTAGGCTCGCTGATATGGTAGTTTAGAGGTCAACAAGTGAACTCAGCTCTCTTTAGGCAATAAAAGGAGTGAGGTCATGATAAAAAATACTCTTCCCTTGCACTACTCATGTATGTAAAAATATGCTTATTAAATGATGTTAGAGTAATCTTCGCATTAGGTACACACATACAGAAACACACAAACACACATGTATACACCAATACCACCTAGTATCTTGGCAAATTCTCAATGCCATGTTCGAAGCCCTACAGAACACTTAAAAACCCCGTGAGGCTTATGGGAGATTCCTGAACTCTAATTAGATTTTGAAAAAAGTAGATTATTGATTCCTGAGGTTTAGAAATATTCATATTTCAAAAGCTTGAGTTCCAAAGAGAAACAACAAAGAAAAAGAAATCAAGAGAGATACATTGAGCCAAGATGTAGAAGGACTAACAGGGACCGCAAATGGGTACTTGCTACCAGGAAAAAAAGCAACTCTAAAATTACATAATTAGAGGATCATTGAGGGAATGGACATGCCATTTATCAGTATGAATCAGTATAAGTAAAATTTTCCTTTGCACAGAATACTCATATCAAGACTCCTGAAAAAGTGTGAGGAGCCTAAGACTGCCTTCATTCCAAGGGGAGTAAAGACGACACTTCTTTGGGGCTCAATGGAGACGTACTCTGCTTCATATGGGAGGAGAGATGAAAAGTTTTATTAACTCTGGTTTGAGGCTAAGTTCGCAAGACATAATAATCTGAATTCATAGGAAATAGAAGAGTATAACTAAAGCTCATATTTCTCTGTGATTACATTTACTTGTCCATGAGAGGGTTATAATTCTATGAATTAAAAATCATGTCATACGAAAAGAATATCAGCTTTTCTAAAATATTATCAGGACTTCTTTTTTCCTGCCTTACTACGCATTAGAAAAACAGAGTATCTGAAATGAAACCTTCTTTGATTTTCATTTTTTCAATAAATATTTATTGAGCTCCTCCTGGGTACCAAACCCTGACCCCAGACAGCAGACTCTGACACTAATTCGTTGGTATTTTAATCAGATGCATACTGGAGTATTGATTAACTTGCACATGTTCACTTGTTCATATGTCTACCTTTCTCAGTAGACTATAAGCAACCTAAGATTGGGCATGCGACAGACAACACTTTGAAATCACAATTAAAAAAAAAGTTATATAAAGATGTTTTGCTTTATAAAATATTTTATCAGAATCCTAATGCTCATAAAAAGATCTGATTCTAAAAAATGGACTTAGGTAAAAGTTTTAAGAACATATCTCCCGTTACAGTATTATGGACTGGGTCTCTCCACGAGCTAATGAGGAAGGCTGTAGCATGTGGAACATGATATTTGTTTTTTTCTTTTTTTTTCTTGTTTACTTTTTAAAAAAAATTTTATATTGGGGGGCTTCCCTGGTGGCGCAGTGGTTGAGAGTCTGCCTGCCGATGCAGAGGACACGGGTTCGTGCCCTGGTCTGGGAAGATCCCATATGCCGTGGAGCGGCTGGGCCCGTGAGCCATGGCCGCTGAGCCTGCGCATCTGGAGCCTGTGCTCCGGAACGGGAGAACCACAACAGTGAGAGGCCCACGTACCACAAAAAAAAAAAAAAAAAATTTATATCGGGGTATAGTTGATTTACAATGTTGTGTTAGTTTCAGGTGTACAGCAAAGTGAGTCAGTTATACATATACATATATCTATTCTTTTTCAGATTCTTTTCCCATGTAGGTTATTACAGAATATTAAGTAGAGCTCCCTGTGCTATACAGTGGGCCCCTGTCGATTATCTATTTTATGTAGAGTAGTGTGTGTTAATCCCAAACTCCTGTAAACCCATAACAGAACGAGGATATGGGCGGATAATGAGGACTCGACTGTCCCTGGACTGGCAAAGTCAATAGAATAAAACAGATGGCTACACCCAAACTGAGCCTGAGGATTTCTAGTATTCATTTACTGGAGGACACAGAATTCTTTTTTCAAAAAATAAACTCTTTTTGAGATTATATTTTGACTTATATTTAGATATCTAGGACCTGTCACATATGGTGTAACCTACAACAAAACAACAACAAAAACAAAAGATCAGGGAAAGGAGTTTTTTGTCCAAAGAGAAAATGCTAAAAAATTAATCATAATATTTCATAGTTTTGCAGACAAGATGGCCAAATATGCATCCTAAGATGCAGACTCTTTACTGCTATCCCTCAATGGGCCATGTGATAAGGAAATCTGGAAACCTGGCACTCTCTGATTACAAGATCACTACAGTTTTCTTTGACAGGAGACCTCACGTAATGAGACTGAGAGCTTCTAAGCGGACAGACGTCTAAGCTGAAATGCTGACGATCCTTCCTGAGGGTGAGTAGGAAGGTGATTATTCCAGAGAAGGAGTGGGGAGTAAAATCAATAGCAAATCAAATGTTTAGTGGTTAAGGCAAACTATACTATGACAAATTCTACAGCATTTGCAATCAATTAAGAAATAAAGAGAAAATGATTCAGCAATGTCACTCAAAACAGGAGGACTTCTGTCAGGTGGGCAAATGAATATTTGCTCCTGACAGAAAAACAGAATGAGAACAGGCAGCCTAAAAGATTTTTTTTTTTTTTTTAATTAACCAAATCATTCAAATACAGAGCTGGATTTCTCTGAGTCACTGATGATTCAAACCAGCTCTGGCATCCGCATCAGAAGGTATAAGAAGGACCGATGGCAATTATATTGCTGAAGAAAAAAAAATTACAGGCTAGTGGGCTGAAAAAGGAAAACAACAACCAGCTATGAGTCAAATCGACAAGATCAAATGGCCAAAACAGAAAGAATGCCCCCAATGCAAGAGTCTTCTGGAACTGGTGGAAGGCAGTGAGAATGCTTGCTTTCCTCAGGCATGTTTTGTCCACAAGAATCTCTCTTCATATTAGTCACAGAAAACAAGAGCCCAGAAACAAAGAAATGATAAGATAAAAGCCCAAACAATTGTAAACATGCATGGGTAACATGCTGGATGCTTTCATGAACAAGTGTTCTCCAAGGAGTGACAAACTGGATGTGGACTTGGTCCTTAAAAACACACACTATTGAAGGGCAGGGCCACGTCTGCCCTCACAGACTACATCAAGCATCCATGACGATGACCAGTGAGTCAGTGTCAGCTCATACATTCCTGGTGCCCAGGCCATGCACAGTAGAGATTAAAGCTCCACAACAGTCATGACATACATAATAAGCACAAATAAGGCAACACAAACCATCAGAATGTATTCTGTTAGCACACAGGAGGCAGTTTTGTGTGATTGAATTTTTCAGGTGCTTCGGGCAGGGACCACTAATGTCCTTGAAACCAAAGTACTAGTTACAGTGGGCAGAGTCTGTGTTTTTTGTACAAATCAGGAGCGGAAAAACATGAGTATGCAACCAAATCACTGCAACTAAAAAAAGCAACCACAGAATAATTTTGGTGATATTGTACTTGTTCTGGGGGTTGCCATGGAAATCTGGGAGCTAAGCTCCTTCACTTTCCATATTTACCAAGTGATTCCCGCTCGCTCTGATGACAAGCATGCCACGTACAAGACGCAGGGTCTCTTGATCACAGAACTCAGAGGCGAGGCCAGGAACGCACATGCAGAGCCCAGCCAAATCCGCCTGGCTCGGCAGGCCTGAACACGTCTGGCCCACTGAATACTCAGAGCTGGAGGGTAAATAGGAAACACAGACCTTCGACGCCACTTTGAGGGAGGTTTCTCACCACGCACAGAAGT